TTACTTTCAATTCAAGCGGTAAAATTTGAAACTGTTCGTTAAACTTACCATCCCCACGCGACCATTTCTTCCAACAATTCAAACACTACGACTAGTGTTCGAATTCCCCTCGTCGATTCCACCGTAAGAAAGAACCTGTGCCACCCAAGCTTCGACTCGAATGTGAAGTACGAATCAAATAACACAACTGCTTCATCTTCGCGGCAATGTCACGCTGGTATTTTGACTTTCGGATCGACAAGAACGGTGATCAGGTAGCGATCGCCATGTTTACTTCATAAACGTGATCGCTGACCAGCCACTGAGTGAAAACAGTACGGTTCAGTGGTGATGGCGGGGTGAGGGGTGGGTGCGGGCAGATTATCAGAAGATTTTTGGGAACATTCGAACATATGCATTGATGTATAATGATAAACATTAGGACTGTCAGTCTTAATGTGAAGGCATGCTTCGTGTTGCAGGCAACTTTTGTTTTACATAATATTCTTGTAGTATTCTTCCGGACCGCTCTTACAGAGACACTCTCTTAAACGCTTTCCAAACTATTTTGTGTTTATCAAAATAGCGTTTTCTGTGAAAAACGGACCTTTTAGGCATATTTGTCATATAGATTCCGCAAAATATCGTGCTTTTTCCCAGAGACGGTGTAATGTTGGCTTTAAAGCATCACTATTTAGGCAAAAAATGCGGAAATTTCCCTTTTGTAATAAAAGTAAAATGCCTCAGTTTTCACGGATTCTTCAAAAGAGCAACATTTTGTATTATTCAACGGAAAGTTAAATGTAGGTGCGTTTTACTCAAAAAAATATTGAATTTTTAACCGCGTTGGTTGTTAACTCTGGTAAAAGTGAATATAATACTCTGCACGTTTGAGAATGGAACGATAAAGTCTTTGATTTTTACCCTTAATATGTTTAAGCGGTGTTTTTTTTCAATAGGTAGAGTATTATGTTAGAAACAATTTTGAATGGTATAGTGTAGTATTAATTCAGCTGATTGAATTGCCAGCTGCAAGAAAGATGAGAAAGAAATATAGCGTGAGTTAAATTCACAATGAAGATGAGTTGGATCGACTAAGAGGAAAAATCAAACTGTTACTGTCGAAAAAGAAGAATTTTTTGAAATGGGATATTCTTCGATGATTATTTCGCGAACGCTATTGTTTAAAACTCCTGCTTCGTCCGCGTAGCCTCAGTTTCCGTTTTGTTGTTATGTATTATTATCTTTTTTAATTCCCTTAATTCCCCGCTCTCTACATTACCCCTGAAAACCATGCGAAGGCTCCTTCTCTTACCTAGTAGTTCTATTAATTCTTGTTTGATTTCGTTGCATTAACAACAGTAAACATTGATTGTTCCATCAATAAATGAATGAAAGAAAAAAAATCGTAACACAAAAATATGATATGCACTGTTTTGGCAAGTTTTAGAAAGTTCGTTACGGGTAAAAAGACTTCTCTGGATAGCTAAAACACTCACTCAAAACACTCATTTCTTTATCAAATGAAATTATTTAGCAAAACTTTGATTTGTTTCTTGATTTTGTTCATGACAGGTAATAATATAGTTGGTGACTTAATTAAAAATGGCAACCAGGATTTCCACCATAATTTCAAAGTACTTTATGCATCTCATTTCCCTTTAAACGTAAAAAAAGATCGTTTCCTTTTACTGTGTATCGACGGTTGGAAGAGGGTGGGGTAAAATGAGTCTGGATTAAAAGTTTGTTAAGGTTCAAACGGCTTCTTTATTTGGAGAAACGTATCCTTTTTGATGGATCCTAACTTCTACACTTTTCTGTTTCGTTTCCTTGAAATCAATGTTCAAAAATGCCAAATAAATTATAAAGCTTACATAGCAACAATGCAGCTACAAAGAAACATTTTCTTGCTCTATCTCCCTTTAACTCGAAAGTAATATAGGTAACCTCTTTAATTATAAAAAATGATCAAAACAAATTGAGAAACATGAGCTCGTACATTGTTTTGACAACACTTTCGATGGAATACACGAGGTAATGTAAATCCATTTAAGGTATGCTGATAGACTTTCACTTAAACAAAAAAATCAACTTATCCTCCTCAAAGATTTCATTTGCACAGAAATATTTCTTTAATACTTTTTTTACGGTCATTTTTTTAACTTTTGCGCCACCATGATGCTGAATTAAATTTCCTTAAACGATAACACATTTAGATTTTCTATGATACTATGATAATTGAAACCCACCGACGCAGCACCACAGATTCTTCAGAAACTTACCCCCCTTGTACTGTGTATCAGTTTGTGTAGATTTTAAAATTAATTTGAAATTGTGATAATTAATTTCTGCTGATTCATTGCCTCCAATATGAAGCCTTTATTCCCAGACGGAAGCACTAATCATGGAGAAGGAACACAATTCAGGAAGTTCTTACCAACGAACAAAAATAAACATCGTTGTGGTAATTTCAGAAAACATCATTATGCCACATTCTAACAAGGCTACATTTAGCCTATAACAAGGCTGCATGGTAATCAAAAATTATCCATCACGATTATTATGACACACGGGAAGTTCTTAGAATAAACAATGGCTGTAGGGTAATGTAACAAAGTTTCATGATGCCAGCTGTTGTGCATGCATAAAAGCGAAAATCAGGAAGCCATCAAATTAATTCTTCATTTTCACAAGCTAGGTTTACATCTATTCATTTCTTTAACGCTCGATTTTGTATTGAATATAAAACTGTAGGAAAGTTGCGTGACCTATAGCTACATACCTTTTTTTCTTAGACCACTTTGTTTAAAGCAATTCTTTCAAGTCCAATTTATCTTAAGCAGAAACGATTTGAATATCAGTGTGCGTATCATTTCGGAAATTTCATTTATCATTCCTAAAAAGGGACGACAATACGGATATGAAATACGTCGTGGAAGTGAATTTGCCGAGGTGTAACACGCCTGCATAATTACAACTGTTTTTTATTAATTTTTCATGATGTCAGACCACAGAATGATGTGACAATACTTTTTTATGGAAATTAAGAGGCAAATTGTTTCTGAACCGAGCAGCATTCTAAACAAACATTTGTACTTGTATAAACTAAGACAGAACAAACAGCTGACATACGAAATAGTTTGACTGCCATTGGTTTAACCGGCGACAGCCTTATTTAAATAAATACTATTAAGAAAAGAATTTGTTTCTTAAGCATATGTTAAATGGGTCAGAACTTTTCTAATCGCGCTCTGTATCATGTATTCTGTTTTTGTCTCCCTTCTCTTATTGGAGCTCTGCTCTATGATACAACGGGCTGTCAGATCACAAGGTTAGTTTTAATATGACTCATGTTCAATTTATCTTACCTTTGTTTTGAGTTATCTTTATTTTTTGGGAAACGATTTATTCAATCATAAGAATTCGTCATTGAGTCAAAAAATTAACTTTATCCACATATATTTACTGAACAAATTTTAAAATTTTCATTTATCAACCTACAACCAGTACTTTGAAGAAGTACGACATTTTCGTGTGCGTATGTGCATTAAATTAGAATTTTACAGAACGAAGCACAGACGATTACAAAATCGATGTCAGAACTTCTGCCGGGGAACTTGAACCCCCTTAGACGTCTTCTTCCATTGACCCAAGCTGTCCAGAAATTGCTCCTCGTCTTTCCGAAGATACTAGCCTTCAAAATAAGGACTTAAAGTTTTTAGATTGAGGACGAAATGAAAGTGCCCAGTGTTAAAAAGGGGAAAAAGGAAAGCCCAACAGTCAAGGAGACACATTTAAGGTCCTTTCGATCGGCCCAGTGGAGATGTTACTTTTAGACTTAGGATGAAAGTCAGGTGAAAGCAAAACAGAAATGAAATAATTTTAAATTCACGAGCAAAAGATAATTTTTGTCGTGTTTACATACTCTGATCTTAAAGAGGCTCCATTGGTTTTTTGGTCGATGATGGCGCGCACGCGCCAGCGTAATGTTTTCCTGGAAGTTTTTTTATTTTTCCGCTTTTCAAGGTCAATATGAGTCATCAAAAGGCATGAGCAAGGTTTGGATTATCGTTTCCTGTAGTAAATATTATAAGAATGATTTCTGTTATTAAGCTAAGGCTCTATCAAGGGACGCGCTCGCCAATGATAATTTGGCTTTGTCTTTGACATTATTCAATTTGCTTCGGTGAAATCTCTCAAAATTTACATAATTTTTTTTAAATTGTCTAGCCGATCATTTAAAAGCCGAAAAAAATAGCGGTTACAGAGGTAGTATCCCCGCTATTTGCAATTTCGTGTTTCTTTCCTCTATCTCAAATTTGTTCTCAGGGAAACAGGGAAGGGTACAAATATGTTTAACGGTCCAGCAAATCCTAAGAAATTCTATTGTAGAAAACGCTATAAACTTACACGAACCGTCCTTATTTTCTTTGTCGCAAAACATCATGTAACAAAATAGAACTTCGCTAACATCGGTATCTAAGTATGCTTAAATTTTCCATCTGTCGCGTCATCTGTTGCCTTTTGGCAACCTTTCCCACGGTGTTTTCTTTTTCATTGAGTTCTTTCTCAGGCGCAGAAGGCCTATGAATATTATAGGTGAAGTTGCTGGAAACCCTTGATTCTATCACATAAAATTGTATCGTGTTAAACTGTTTTTAACACACCTTTTCAGATAATAATCGTGCGATCAAGCCGCCGTGCTATGTTCGCAGACCCAGATCTTGCCCTATAAAAAAACCCTGTGGAGTCTCCTTTACACCCGCGACACTGTCGAGGGTTTGTATATCTCTTTTCTTGTAAATACTTTTTGCAAGATAGAAATAAAGTAGACGAAGATAAAAAAAAGTTCAAGTCTGACACAATAGGTAGTGGAATATCACTTTTCACATTTTCCGTAATTCTTAACAAATCATAATAAGCAATAATGTTACTTTTCATATATTTATTATTTCCATGTCAAAGACGTGTGCATCGCAGACCAGTGTCGTAATTTGGAGTTCGGACCTGAGAAAGCATTTGGCGGGAAACGCCTCATAAACCACACAATTCGCACCGTAGAAATTCCAGTTTCCAACTTCTGTGAAAACATGTGTTATATGGAGCCCGACTGTGTCAGCATTAATCTTTATACACGGGCAGATGGAAATGGAAACTATAAATGTGAACTGAACAATGCTACTCATGAAGGACACGAAGGAAAGTTGATAGAACAAGAAATGTATGTTTATCACGCAGCTGAGGTAAATATTACTTTCAATTTAAGATTCAGATTGGTGTACTTTGTTTTTCTTTTGTAAATTCATAGTCTCACGTTTACCTTGAATTACGAACTCTTTCATGACACTAGCAATAATATTGTGTCTGTGCTCTTCACCAAAATCTCCTCAAAGACAAAGTATTTCAAAGTTATTGGAGAAATATAGAAATGGAAGGACAACTATGATGACAAGGATAACGATGGCGATATTGATGATGGTAGCGGTGCGGACTATGAAATGTTGAAAATAATTTTAAGGTTGATAGTAACGATGACAATGACAACTGTTTGTTTCTTCTGTTAGAGCAATTGTGTTGAAAATCCCTGTAAGAACAATGCTACTTGTCAAAGCGGATTTACTAAGAAAGGTTTTCGGTGTCTGTGTATCGCTGGATTTGAGGGTCCGATTTGCGAAAGAGGTAAACACAACTTTTATGATGATATCTTTAGACTTTCAGTTTAACAACAACAAGCAAAAACTTTATCGCTGCTTGTTAATTGTGTCTCAAATAATAAAATAGCTTTCTCTGTACTCATGTAGCTCAAACCGCTCTTACTAGTCACTAGGACAAAGGGCCTTTGTTGCGGTTACTTCACCAACACCACTCGATGGCGAAGTTTTCGTTTTTTGTCATTTCTTCTCGTCATCTCCTATCTCCTTATTCGTCTTGACATATTTTCTCCTGAGCTGCACTGAAAGTGAAAAGAGACAAAAGTAAAATAGATGAACCACAAGCAAAAAGATAATTAGCCACCTGTAGAACTTTCGGGATTAAAAAAGAGGGAATATGTGACTGTTTCGCAGCTCATCAGCACTGTTTGTGACTTACAAGTTGGTTGTGGGTCGACTCATTTTGAATACATTTTTTTCACTCTGTACAAAGTAAATGAAGTGTAGTGATCACGAGAAAAGAAAAACTACGTTTATCATATTAAGAACAGTATGTGTAGGAGGCCTACCTGATTATTCTTGTACAGTTGTTAGTGCTTCTATTTTTTTTTTTTCAGTACGATAATTTTTATTTATTTATTTATTTATTTTTTTTTTTTGTTCAGACATCAACGAATGTGTTCGTGGGCTACACAAATGCAGCTCTGATGCGTTTTGCAGCAATACTAAAGGTTCCTACAATTGCACTTGCAAACATGGATTCACGGGAAATGGACGAGAATGTAAAGGTAGGCGTTGGATTTATTACCAATTATGTGATGAAAAAAATAAAGCTTGCATTTGCAAATTATCCACAAAGGGGTGATCAGGAAATGTGGAGAGAAACTGAACGCGAGAGGAGATACATATAGACGAAACCACATTGAAACAATGTATTCTTAATCTCCAAAGTGTTTTTGCATCAATCGGAATCAATGTACTCATCACTGTTTGTTGGTTTCGTTCATCTTTTGTTGAAGAGACTGTCGCATGGCTACAGAAACCTATTTGATGTTCTCAACAACAAATATTAATGATGTTCAAATCATGTACGAATATCAAGTAATACTGCTGACCTTTTAAATCTTTTATATATTTTTGTCAATTATTGGTCGGCTTTATATCTGTAGACATCAATGAGTGTGTCGCAAGGTCACACTCTTGCAGCCCTGATGCCTATTGCAACAATACCAAAGGCTCTGTACATGTAAACCTGTTTCACTGGGAGTGAAAGAGAATGTGGGGGTGATAAAACAAAAACTACGTATATCATATCAAGAACAGTTGGAGGCCTACCCATGTATTGTTGTTTTTACAGTTGTTGGTGCGTCTATGTTTTTTTCTTTTTTCTAAACGATAACTTGTATTTAGTTATCGGTGTATTTCTTTTGCTCAGACATCAACGAATGTGTTCGTGGGCTAGACAAATGCAGCTCTGATGCATTTTGCAACAATACCAAAGGGTCTTACAACTGTACATGTAAACCTGGATTCACTGGAAATGGACGCGAATGTAAAGGTAAACGTTGAGGTCGAAATGTAGAGGAAAATCAGCTGATGAAAGTCTAAGTAAGAATTTTGATACACTGGCGATAGCACTGCTCTTCTACTGAGCCTTGCAACCCTTATGAGTTTCTAAGTCCCTCTTCCGTGTAGTGTTTTAAAAAGTTTGCAATGGGAAAATTACTGATTTCGTTTTTCGCATGAAATCACGATTCATAAAACTTGTCTGTGTCTGCGTGATCTCCCTCGTTCTTTGGTTTCAGAAGACAAGTCAGATCTCGGTTTTGATAATTCAAGATATCATAGTCAACCTCGTCCAGTAATTGCTTATTAGCTTAAAACTTTTCTTCGTCTCCTTTTTTTTATTTATTTTTTTTTCAATTGGTAAGTCCCTTTGAAACACATCCATCGATGATTCTTGATCGTTTATATGTTCTCTTCGAGTAAAATCACAAATTATGAAGTGGCATCTGTTGCAGCTTATACTGTAAATCTAATCATCCGGAGTTTAAACTTAATACCCAATCATAGTTTATAGATATTTTTGGAAATAATTGATTATTTTTCAAACACGACCAGTAATAAACTTGGTAAGCGTTCAGTAACGTAGAAACTTTAAAAACTGGATGAAAACATCTATTGCTTTATTAAGATAATAACAACTGATCCTCTCTCGACGCTGTTTCTTATCAATGATCTATTTAAAGAAAACATACATGCTGCCAAATGAAGTGAATGAAAACTGACTCTTTCCAGTCAAAAAGCAGAGCTTGGAACATGATGAATTTCTTCTGTCATTCAGTCAGATCGCAGTCAATCTAGTTTCCCAATGATGGATTGAGATGTAGCTAAAAAAAAGTTTACAATTTCCTCTAATCAAAGATATTTTTAAACTTCTTGCAGGAGCTTCCTCGTGTAAAGAAATTCATGACATGCAAGTAGAACTGATTTTCGATATTATTTTCATAGTACATCAAATATCGCGCTTTCCCGCATATAGTTTAGGCCCACCACGGCACCGAATATACCCCAATTTTCAAACCACATTCCATATGCGGAGAAAGTCCTCCTTTAAACCTTTATTCATTTCAGTGGAATGCATTACTGTCCTCAGAGAAGAAGTGAAAAAATATCTTTTGAACTCGGACACCTGTTTGATTCAAGAACAAATAACCGAGCATTGTTTATATTCCGCAGATATTGACGTCTAAAGGATCAACGTTCCATTTGCTTATTAGTTGAATCATTATTATTATTATTATTATTATTGTCAATCAGTATCTTTCCCATTATCAGTTTCATTGCCACCGTTGTAGCTATGATAATTATTTTCATAAGCTCAAGGTTTTATTTCACCATCATTGTTTTCATTACTAGTTGTATTTCTTTTTTTTTTATTCAAAAGATCCAATGTGAGTGGTGTGGTTACCCTTCTTGTTGACTCCCAACCATTGTCCGTTTTCTGTCACATGGGAAATTTTGGGTGTGGAGATGGAGGATGGACGCCAGTCATGAAGATTGACGGCAGAGAGGTGCATACTTTTATTGAATAATTCATTTCCTGTATAAACCCGCTCTCTTTCAAAACGTTGCAAGTTAAAAACGTGCGTTTTACATATGTATGCCTTCAGTCGTCTTTCATTGAGAAGGTAATACATGAAGAACAGACCTCGTTCAACGTAAATTTGAAGACTCGTTGTGTGTAGTGACTGTTGAAAAAGGATGAAAAAGAATGTATAAATATATCCTATCATATTTGTCTCTAATAGCATGTAACGGCTATTTAAGAAATACACACCATTAAGATCATAATGCGGTTAAAAGCCGTCCGGAACAAAGAACATATTTTATCTCAGTTAAAGTTCCACACTGGTTAATGGGTATGTAGATATAACCCTGATTTAAAGAGCTGTCACTGCTCATTCCCCGAGCAGCGGGAGGGAGGATAGGTAGAGGAGGATTCCTGGAGGACTATATAACATTTGGGGCCAATTAACTTGCCAATGAGGAGAAATCGTTGGTCATAGGAATATCACTGACAGTCTTATGGGGAGATCAGGTTACTTTTATGGTGACATAACCAAAATCCAATTTGTTTTTGTTATATATGAAAAGAGATTGGAATTTCTTTATATAATAGCATCGTGTATCATCCTTCATTCACTTCACAAATGATTGTCATTTCAATGTCTCTTGATTGGCGTCCAAATGAAAACACAGAAAAACTCCTTATAACTAGAAAGATATGTTATGCACTGATTTACGGCGCGGGGTCCGTGTTGGAAAAAAAATGACCTTAGTCTTCACGACACGATGGCGTAATTACCAAGGTCAATTTAACGGTAAAACAAATGAGTAATGGATCAATAAATGCAGATATACGACAGGACTTTGACAGAAAATATCCATTAATTCGGATTAAATAAGAAAAAAATGTATTGCTCCTATATTTCAGACCACCTTCCATTATGATGAGCATTACTGGATAAATGATCAAGGATACAATCTTCCCGGAGGAGAGACTGGGTTCGACGGACAAGAGTCAAAGCTACCCACCTACTGGAACACATCCTTCTCCAAGATCTGTCTCGGTATGAAGATCAACCAACAGCTCAGGTTCATTGTCATCCACAAGCAGGCTGACTCTCTGCACTCACTGATCGCTGATGGCCAATACCGCGCCACCTCACTTGGTCGTGACAAGTGGAAAGAGTTGATTGGTTTCCAAGGCTCGTTACAGGCCAACTGCAACAAAGAAGGGTTTAATGTCGTTTGTAGTTGGAGAAGTTATTCTAAAGCCAGAATTGGTATTGTTAGCGAAAACAAGAATGAGTGTGGCTCGTGCGACTCAAGGATCGGATTTGGCACAAAAGGGCAACCTGACGATTCAAACACGTGTGGTAACGAGGCCGTTAATAATCCAGATAATGGAAACAAACACCTCAAAGCCATGGGATACATCCTGGTACAATAAATATGACCCGGGTTTCGCAAAATAAACCTAATAATAAGTCTAATTGTCGATTAGTTTCAAGCGTAACCCCTCGGATAGGGACTTATGTCCGTGTATAACTTTGGCTTTACCCTGGATCAATCTCTAGCCATTCTTTATATTAACTCTACATCTATACATAGATAAATTTGAGAAACCACGTTGAAAATTCTATAATTTAAAACGGCATGTTAAACAGCATTCAAATATTCTGATAACAGAGATGTCCAACTCGCTTACTGTGTCGTAGAAATAATTATAAGCTAATAGTTTTTGCTTATATTATCCTAGAATTTCAGAAGGTTTGACCTATGAGGACGAGGTGCACGGGTCAAAATCTCTCCCTCTGCGTTTGGATTGTTTTGTGCATCAATGCAATCCTTTAAGGATCGAATTGGAAAGGAACAGTTATGCTTCGTGGCCTTAATGAAATTGAAACGATACTTCAATAAAATAGACTTGTTTGCTCCAGTTTTATCTTTCGTTGCCTTCAGAGAGATGTAAATGCACAGTATTGAACTTATCAGCTCATCTAAGTTCGGGCGGGGCACCTATCTGATAACTTCCTTGCTGCTTAGATGTAACAATCTTCCGTAACTAATCTTGCCTCTCCACCACATCGCCCGTTTTACATAGGTGCCCTCTTTTCTACGCTCTTTCCACCCTACTACTTATTTTACCATTTCGTTACAAATCTCCTACTGATTCCCAGAACCTCATCTCCCTTTGCTTTGCTTTTGCCTTCCCTTTTGGTCAGACTCTCTTTTGAAATGATTTTCCTCGAGACGAAAGCCACTTACAATTCCCTTTTTATCGCTTTTCATTTAGAAAAAACAAACTTATTGACATGTTCGTTGTTAAGTTCTTTCCCGGAAACATAAAATATTTCAAACTCAATGTATGATAGCACACCTGTCTGGCTAATAAATGGTGCTTCGGAATCACTAAAATGAAAGAGAAAATTGCTTAGGGTTTAGAACTTTTTTTAACGCCCAGCCTCAGAGATCAGCACACATATTCGACTTTTGACATAGACGGGTGACTTTTCTCCTAGCCTGAGATTTCTAGCCAAAAAACCGCACTTCTCTCTGAACCAACGACATGTCTCATCTATTTTAGCCCCCAGACAGTTTGCTTTAGGTAGCTTTGAAATATCATTGGTTCCGAGCGATGGTTTTCTGTATTACAGCTGGTGGTTGTAATTTCTTTTGTTTTCGTGGAAAAGGTTGTGGTTATTCATCGTGGTGAATAACAATAAAAAAGTAAGTTTTCGTTTGTCTCACGATGTAGTCACGTGTGATGTAGATCGCGACGTTTCAACTGCATACTGCTAGTCTTCTTCAGGATGAGGTCGACTGGTCATGCGTGATTCTATAAAGCATGATGCTCTGCTGTGATTGGTTGTTTTTCAGCAGCTCTGATTGGTGCATTTCGATCTCGGCGGTCCGCTGTCGCACGGCTCTCCTGTTGTTGTATTTCTTGATCGTGGGGATCCACGCTTCTGGAATTTCTATTCCAGTATCCCTGTTGATGTTGTTGGGGTGAAGTCTTGTATGAATAGCCTCTTTGACCCTGCGCGTGTAGTAATAAGGGTAACGATCAATAAACTTTACTTCGTTCCAGAGTGGCTTGTGTCCGGTGTTGTGGGCATGTTCTGAAACGGCGGAGGTCTCGGTACGGGCGAGTCGAATGTCTCGATCGTGCACGAACAAAACACCAACAACAACACCAACAAACACCGGAAAAAAACACACGAAAAACTTACCTTTTTCTTCTTTTGTTTTGCTTTTCAACATCACTCCCATCAAATGAAAAGCTCAAAGCCTTTCCTTTACTATTCTCAGAATCAATTGTCCTCCACAGGAATTAAACAATCAAGAAAACGGATAAACAAACACCCATTAAACTTTTGACCCCTAGGAGTGACAAGCATATAATTTCTCTTACAATATCACCCCTGGATCCAACATTAAGGTCACCCAAATCCAGGAATTGAACACAGACTAAAGCTCTAGATTGTTAAACTAATTCTCCTCCACGGCTCCTTGGGAAACATGGAGAACAGTGTGGAGAATATGCATACTGATTTTTGGGCGGAAAGGGTTAACTTTGTAATAGATTGGCATCCCACCCGATGGGGGTTGGTGGCAGAGTACGGGGAAACTCTTATGGCACTTATACAAATAACAGGCCCTTAGTTGTTCGACATCAATAAAAGCTGGAGCTGTGGCGGGAACAGCCCATTGAGTTATGAGCTGATCTTCCCTTTAACGTGATTTCTATTTTTCGGCTGGTTTATTTTGTGAGAGCAGTCACAATAATCATCCTAAACACTGTTTTTGTCGGTTGGTTAATGTGAATAAATTAAAGTAGCCTGGAAACTAGGGCAAAATCCCAAAGAACGTTTAGCACAGAACAGCCTCAAAAATATTTATCATCAATTATAGCTCACAAAAATTAGAAATGAACTTATTAAGTAAAATGCTCACAAGAAATACAAGCATGGAAATACGCATGGAAAAAATTTAACCCAAACTATTGACAAGAAGAGAAATGTTGGATTTTGTTATGTCGACTTACAATATCTCACACACCTATAGTATTATTTCTTAAAGTTTAATAACTATGGTACAGTGAAATTGGCAGATAGCCTCTTCCAACATTCAGGCATAACATTTTCAAAACGTTCTAAGAAACTACTTCTGTAGGTCCCATATACCCTTATACTCCCTGGATCGCAGCGTAAGTTTTCCTTGCCACCTGCTATACATTTCTTTTAATGTTAGCTCTGAGAAGGTGGTAATAAATTAAAGTCTGCTTTATCATGAGGCTGATAATTTCCTTAATTCTCGTTACCTCTTGCTTTATGGATTTATTGTTTCTGTGAGGCGAAATTATTTATTTGATCTCTAAGAGAGCAAAGGTGAAGATGGTAATGTAGGATTTTTCTTGCCTCCAAATAAACCAGAATTGCACAGGTTTTACTTTACTTCACTTCATGAATGGTCTATAAAACTCTGGACACTTTCTCAATCAAATGTAGTAGCTTAAAATCAATCAAGAACTGGTAGTGAGCATTTTCCTGCATAGCAGACAGTTTGCATGTGTTCAATTTGAGAGTCTAATGCTTCGGTCTTTGGGTTATTAATCTTTGGTCTGACAGCCCCTGTGATTAACCAAGCGTAAATGTTAATTTTTGCAATTTTTAAATTAGTTTCCAATATAGAAAAAATTCCCGCCATTTTAAGAAATTTATAGAATTCCTTAATCAGGCCTCTTTTAGAGATAGATGGAATTCTAGGTGAATGTGGTCTTGCTTAAAAAACCGTGTCGGTAGTTGAAACGAGAACTGGTTTAAGTGGAGGTCTGTGTATAGAATGACATGGCCACACCACAACACCGGGAGCTTCGTTCTCTACTCTTTGCGAGAAGTGCGTTGGTTCTTTAACGTCCCTGTTAACCATTTCAGCGAAGAGAAAGGAGATGGGGCCTATGACTTATTGTACTTACCCGAAAAGAACCGTTGTCAAAGCAGAGGCAGCACATTCTCCTCAATATTTTACGACCCTTAGTGTTGGCCCGGTCTGGAGCTTGAACCCGCGACCTCCTCCACGCCAGTCCGGCGCTCTACAACGTTAGTTAACCAAGCGCGACTCGTCAAAGTTTCGAAAGTGGATTCCATTTCCTTCTCATGATCACTTTCCTTTTTGTTTTCTTGCAAGAAATGTTTTGGGAATTATATTTCCATACGTAATAAGGACGATATACAACCGAATTTAACAATTTTTTTTTAAAATAATTTTTCGCCTCCTGTATAGAACTTGAAGTTTCACAGAATGTTGCTGTAAATTAGGAAGAATATATTTGTGTCCTACGAGAAGTTGCTAGCACCAAACTAACAAGTGTTAGTAAGGTATGGAATGGAATTTCACTCACTCATTTCATTTGTTCATACCCTCATATTCTTAAGTGTACCAACCACGACCTAACTCCACAGAAAAACGATCTTTGAATCGAATGGCCATTGTATAAGTTTCTCTTAAGTGAATATGAATTTTTTTTTTCTTTTCATTTTGATTCAAAAGATCCAATATGAGAGGTGTGGTTACCCTTCTTGTTGACTCCCAACCATTGTCCGTTTTCTGTCACATGGGAAATTTTGGGTGCGTAGCTGGAGGGTGGACACCAGTCATGAAGATTGACGGCAGAAAGGTGCACACTTTTGATAAATAATTCATCTCGTGTATAAACGCGCTCTCTTTCAAAGTGTTGCAAGCTGAAAACTTGCATGTTACATATGCATGCCTTTTGTTTTTCATCGAAAAGGTAATGCACGAAGAACAGACTTCGTTGAACGTAAATTTCAAGACTTATAGTGTGTAGTGACTGAATGAATGAAAAAGAATGTGTAAATATATCCTTACATCCCAACTATTGTCTGTTTTCTCTCACATGGGAAATTTTGGGTGCGGAGATGGAAGATGGACGTCAGTCATGAAGATTGACGGCAGAGAGGTGCATAATTTTATTGAATAATTCATTTCCTGTTTAAACCCGCTCTCTTTCAAAACGTTGCAAGTTAAAAACGTGCGTGTTACATGTATGCCTTTAGTTGTCATTCATCGAGAAGGTACTCCATGAAGAACAGACTTTGTTCAACGTAAATTTCACGACTTTTTGTTTGCAGTGACTGTTGAAAAAGTATGTAAAGTATGTAAAGTATGTAAAGTATGTAAAGTATGTAAAGTATGTAAAGTATGTGTCCTCACATATTTGTCTCTAGTATCATGTAGCATCTTTAAGAAATACACACTATTAAGATCATAATTTGGTTAAAAGCTGTCGGGAACAAAAAACACAACTTATCTGAGTTAAAATTCCACATTTGTTAATGGGTATGTAGATATCACCCTAATTTAAAGAGCTGTCATTGCTCATCGCCTACACAGCGGGGGAGGGGGATAGGTAGGGGAAGATTCTTGGAGGACTTAAGGACATTTAGTACCAATTAACTTGCTAATGAGGAGGGGTCGTGGA